CCTCGGTCGACTACGTGGGAGTCCAGTGACATAGCCATTACGCTAACTGCTGGTTCCCTATAATTTTAATTTTAAAACAAATTTTTGAAATTTATTTTTAAAAGTTAAGATCTTGCTATGTTGCCCAGGCTGACTTTGAATTTGCAATGTTCTTGCCTCAGGTTCCTGAGCAGTTAGTATTATAGGGGCCTGCCACCATGTACAGCTTAACTTTAACTTTCAATAAAAACATACTCTGTCACGTGTATTGACTTTTTTCTTACATATTTTGCTATTATAATTATGTAAAGAACATTGTAATTTCTTGGTTTATGCTCTTTTTTTTCCCTAAGGATTATTTAATTTTATTTATTCATTCATTTATTTTTTATTTTGACCAGAGAGAGACACACACAGAGAGAAAAGGAAAGTGAGAAAGCAAGCCACCAGGTTCAGGACATCTATTTCTCTTTAAATTTCTTTAAAAATGCTACCTGTGCCAGAGTTTATAATAAAGAATCTATAATATCCCTGAGGAAAATATACTGGAATACTACCTGCTTAGGTGGTTGTCATTCCTTCTGGCTTGGATAAAAGGTGAAAGTGTTTTATGCCATCATACACAAATGAACTCTTTTGTATAACCTTTCAAAAACATAAGGAAATCAATTTGGTCTACTGCAGTAATCCATCTCCCCTCCCCTCCCAGGCGGCAGGTCCTAATCACTGTAAGGGGAAGCGGGGTGGAAAGCGGCACAGATGGGATTAGGGAGCAGAATGAACTGGTTCAATTTACTAAACCCCCTCTTCACCAAGGCCAACTAGAGAGGGATCTTTGGTTCTCAAAGACAAAAGGTGGGTAGCCATCTCCCCCAACAGGGTACCACACTTGCCTTAGAGGGGATTTTCAGTCAGATATCAGGTGACGTCCCTTCACTGATGCCTCACTGGTGTCATCCTACAACGAGCTTTGGTCTGTGACTGACATGAACTGTGTGTAGAATTTGTTTTGAAAATCCCAAGCCTGCTGGTGGAAAGCTACTCTAGTCTGGGGACATGAGTCTTGTGTAGGGACATGGAAACTCACTTGTTATTTGACTCATTTAACTCTCAGGTTCTCAGAGCCCTGGTGACCAATGCATTAATACTCAAAATACTTCTGAGGGCTGGGTGGTGGGTGACAGAGAACTCGATTTTTGTTTTAAATGTTCTAACTGGATATTACCCCATTGATTTTCATGAGGACAAAATGCCATTTAAAAGTGTGGTGGTAAAGTTAAGCACAGACCCTGCAGTCAGACTGTCTCTGGGTTCAAATCCCATTTCTACCATTGACTAGCTGTTGATCTTGGGTAAATGATTTAACCCCTCTATAAAGTAAGCTACAGCACCTACTGGAAAGCATATTGGGAGGATGAAAGAGCAAATTCCCTATAAAGCATTTAGCCAAGTGCCTGATACACACACGTGGCGAGTGTGCAATAGAGGGTGGTTATTATCATCCAGCCCTCACCAAAGATGACTTCATTTACTACTGGGAACAAAGAGGAAACTCTTTAAGCATCCAAGGGTATGTGGAAAGGACCCTGATGTCATTCGTAGATTTTTTTTTTTTTTTTCCTGTAGGGCATGTGTGCTTGCCAGAGAGAGACAGAGGGATAAAAAAAAAAAAAGTGAAAAATCATGCCCCCCCCTCCCTGCGTGGGGAGATGGTCATGCCACAATCCCTTCACTCTCCCCTTGGGACTGTGGGGGCACACACACATGCACCCAGCATGATTTCCAAGTTACTGGGTCCCAGACTCGAGCTGTGAATCTGGCCATGTAGGTTAAGAGAGGCTTTAACCTCCAAGTCACCTGCTGGCCCCTATCTGTAGGTTTTAATCCCACAGACTCAGAGGGATCCAGGAAAGGGTAGGACTTGGTTCCCAGACCACAGCCCTCTCCACACTGCAGTCCTGCTTTGCAGTGGCAGCTCCACCACACACCACACCAGTCTCTTTCTTGACCTCCTTTCTTCCCTATAGCCTCTGACCTCAGCCCATCACCCAGAGAGGTTCTTAGTGCACTTCCTGAGGCATATGGTCTTTGTGGGGACTCTTTTCTGGCAGACCACTGCCTCATAGTTCACGTAGCACCATCCGTTCTGAAGCAATAAAAACAGATTTGCTCCTTGGTTAACATGATTAAAGGTAAAAATGGTCCTTTCTCATGCAGGTGTTGACTAGGCACATTCTTTAAGCCCTTATCCATTTATCTTTTCTCTAATGGATCATGCTCACTGAGAGAGCATTAAAACCACTCCAACCGGGAAATTATGCAGGCCTTCCTGCAGTTACTATCCCGCCAGCACTTTACCACAAGATCCAACCCTCAGAGCAACAGAGACCTAGAATTAATGTCGGAATGAGGAGGTGGAGGAGGGATGAGTCACTCCAGACACAGGATATGGACTGAGCATTTCTGCAGTTTCAGCATTAGCTCATTTATATTTATTCTGAGTAGAAGCTGCTTCCTTGTCTCTGGAAGATGGACTGCACTCCATTTTCAATATGTAAGTTTGTGCTCTGAGCATTTGTATTCATCTGGGCTGACAGAACCCACCGTGAACATTCTATAATAATTC